AAAGCTTCACGAAGGCTATCTGCAAAGGCTGGCATTTTTGGAATAAATCCTCTATTTTTTATTTTATTAATAGAATCACGAAAACCTCGATCTACTATAAGAACATCGTCATTTTTAAAGGCAGACCAAACAGCATTATCTTCCAATAGGGCATTCATTCATGATGCATCATTTTTTAAACCTTTATAGGGTCCCCAGACATTTGCAATGTAACCGTCTGTGAAAACGGCTATCATAGGTTTTATTAGGTTGCGATGTTTGTGTCCAGAATAGATTTTTTTTTGTAAATCGAAACTATCACTTTTTTGAATGAATAAATACGTACCATCAAAAACGACAATGATCTTATCTGCTGTTGGAGCATGGATCCGGACGGCAATTTCATTATTATGTTTAATCATTGAGCTTCTAGACATTGAAAATGTTAAATATTCTGCACACAGAGTTTCAATAAGTGCTTGGCGACACAAATCTGCATACGCACTGGCTGTCTGCCGAGTAACATCATAGGAATGGTTTTTCGGGTATAAGGGTGACTTCCGACGCATGTATCGGATCGGTTTTCCTTGTATGTCATGTGAGGGCCTCAAAACTTCCTCTATGCAAAAGGAGAAGAGCGACAAATCATTTCTAGCTTGGCGAGAATCGTTTAAGTAATTTTGGGGATGGTTTTCGGGTATAAGGGTGACTTCCGACGCATGTATCGGATTGGTTTTTTTTTGTATGTCATGTGAGGGCCTCAGAACTTCCTCCCTGCAAAAGGACAAGAGCGACAAATCATTTTGTAAAAATCGCTGCAGGAATGTTCCAAGCTTCAACCAGCTCGGAAAATTCCATTTTTCATGGTCTTTTTTCAATTTTTTCGTACTTTCCCCGGTGTCTAGAGGAAAACAAACTTTACCACGTGATTCTACGGTATGAAATCTATAAGAAACCATGTGTAGTTTTGGTTCCACACCAGGGGCCAAAATTGACCTATATTTAACATCCTCCTTAACCGATTATCAATAATGTACAAACGACGTACAAACGATTATGGATAGTGCGTTACATAAATATTCACTGAAACACCCATGATCCGATAAAATTTGGGCTATATGACCCAACCGTGGCTCCTATTGGACCACTCGATTAGCCTGTCAGCGATCGCGCTACGTACTCTATAACCTGATTGATCCCTATTCATTTCCAGCAAGCTATCCCTCCAATTAATCAAAGCCTTGTCCCGCGCCTTAGTATACCATTCCAGTCTGAGTTTGGGAGAAATCTCCTCTCCCTCAGCTACCTCCTCCCTGATTTTGTGATATATCATCGACATTCTCCTCGCGTAATACCCAATAGGAGGGGTCCCTGACATTATAGATGCCGCGGTAAAAGAAACCGTACGGTACGCACAACAAACTCTGAGAGATCCTGCGTATCAGTCTAACCATTAACAACCTAGCTCTAGGATTTCGGTCAAAAAACTCCGACCATACGGGAGCCCCATATAAAATCGTAGATAATATCACGTTACGCTACAATCTCCTCCTTTTTTCGTTCGGTCCTCTACAGTTGGGCATAATTCCCCTCAAATAACCAATGACTTTATCCACTTTATCCACTTTCGTATACAACCGTTCAAAATAATACGTAAATTCCCACTTCCCATCTAAAAAGATGCCAAGATACTTCAGCGATGGGGTAATGGGAATCTCTCTATTCTTGACAGGGTTGGGTAGTGTCCAATTAAAAAAATAAAAGTTAAGTTAAAAAGTTAAAAAGTTAAATAATTTTAACTTAACTTAGTTATATTTTAGACTCTTAACTTTTAATTTAATTTAGTTACATTTTATCGGTAACTATTAACTTTTCTAAAGTTAACCATGCCATAAAACATAAAAAAGGAAAAAAGGTGTCACGAAACGTCGCGCTGCCAAATTCTAGACACTGGAAGCAAGTGCACGAATAGAGCGGTAACCACACAAATATACTTGTACAGTACAAGTGTAGAGTGCGGGACACACGACTCGTATGTATATAGTTTACGCATGTGCGCGGTTATCCCTCGTGCTTTTTACTTCTTGCTGCCAGCGTCTAAAATCTAGCCAAACTATATGTATTAGTGCTGCACTAGTCGATCTGGCTTCTAACAAAATTTACGTTATTGCGAATCTTCTGTGCCAAAATGAGTGTTGACATTGTTGATGAATCTGATTCGTCTACGTCTAATGATCAACATTTTGATTCGGATGATTTGTCGCAATCCACGAAAGTTGATCGTGAAAGCATGCTATACACATGGTCACATCTTCGCGATTTTTTCGAGTTTGACACTCACGATAAAAAAACCGGAAAATTGTCATTTCAGTGCTTCTTATGTAAACCCAAGAAAAAATATATATCGGCGTCAGTGTCTTCAAACTCGAATTTGAGAACGCACATCAAGGTAAGTTTAAAATAAATTAATAAATGTATATATATATGTATATACAGGGTGATTCAGAACAACCCAGGTGTCCTTGCACAGACGTATTCCTGAGTTAGTTCTGAGACGATTTTTCCTTTAC